AACGAAAAAAGGTTTAGCAAAGTTGCCTATGGATATGGAGAGTTGTTACTTTAGCAATCATTTAGGTCATTTGAAAAAAGCGGAATAGGAGAGCATTTGAAGGGGTAAACGTTACTTCGTAAAAATACAAAGTTGATATAGGCTCGATCTCTTCTTTAGTAGACAACACCTCCCTCATTTATTAATAAAAATTAAAGATATATAGCTTCTATTATTCCTGATAGATAGTCCAGAAAGCATATCCAAAAGTACTTGACCATACAAACAGTTCCACAATCAGCTTGTTGTGATTTCCATAAACTATAATACTTATACTGCAGCAATTTCACCATTTAATTCGCTGTCTGAAATTTTTCATGAAACAGTTGGAATCTGGTTACTAGTTTGTCTCGTGGTGGCAAGTGTTGTTTGATTGCCGGAGCATTAGAAAAGTTTTTCATCCATCCTGATAAGAGCGGAAATTTGTGTGCATCAAACAACTTCAGATCGATTACCTCCTCAAACACATCAAGCAGATACGCCATCCAACCAAGTGCAAGATCCACATATCCTATACTTTCTCCACCAAAAAATTTCTTCTCTTTCAATTGCTCTTCAATGATTTCTAGGTTTTGCACGGCTGGAACAAGAGCTTCCTTTTTTGCCTCATATCCTTTTTCTGTGAAAACACTCCATACTGATGGCAGAAGCTGCAGATCATGAAAGACAAATATCAACGAAAATGATCAATTCAATAACTGAAAATGCCTATTGTCCGATTGATCACTTTACTCAAATGTTAATATGTTAATATACAGGTACAACTCAATAAAATTAGTGGCCTAAAGTCAAATTATATAGATACAAGAAAATAGTAAACATAAATTTTATTTTTGATCTGAGATCAATGGTATCGATCTTACCTTGTCGTCCACAAATTTTGCCCAAAAACGGGCCATGGCTTTCTCATAAGGATCCTGAGGTAGCAAAGGAGTTGTTTCCTTCTTCCATGTCTCATCGATATACTCGAGAATCACCAGTGATTCACAGATTGGCTTGCCTTTGTGTACAAGTACAGGAATCTTTTTGTGAACAGGATTATACTGGAGGAGTTGAGGGCTCTTCTGGCTTAAATCTTCAAAGACATTTTCGTATTCGATCCCTTTGATATGCATCGCCCAAACGATCCTCAAACCATATGGACTTGACCATGTCCTGTAAAGCTTCACTTCATCTGCCATGTTTGTTTTGATTTGCAACTGATATCTGCAAGCTAATGTTTACTTATACACTCATAAAATGGTACCTTTTGCCCTTTATGCAGAGGCGTATCCAGGATTTTGAGATGATGGGTGCACTATTACAAAAAGGTGAATCTAAGATATAAATTTGATTGATTTAACATTTAGGTTCTTATCACTAAAAATAATTAAAATTTTAAAATTATAGGTCCAAAGTTATTTTTACCTATCCAAACCACTTAGAGAGACATTAGCCAATTTTAAAAAGGAAAATAAAACAAGATAACTAAAAGATTCAAATTTCTAACCTCACTTAGAGAGGTGCACCCAACATAATTGCACGGTATAATACTTCAAGTGTGGGTTCACATATCTATATTTAAATATTTTAAAAAAATATAACACTACTATATATAATTTCAGGAGGGGAGCATGGGTTCACGTGAACCCGGTGACCCCCTCCTGGATACGCCTCTGCCTTTATGGTATTTAACTTGTGTGGGACACAAATTTTTTAGAAATTAAAATCATGCTCATTTCACTTATAAGAGATTATGATACGAAAATATAAATTTATTCTTTGCGAAAAATATTTACCTTATAACAACAGTGTGTGGGGAATGATAAGTCCAATGAATTGTTTCACTTCGTCTTTGCTCTTGTTTTCATCTGGTATTCCAAAACTTTGTGCTCATGTTGTATCACTTGATTTTTGTTGGATGATTTGTGAATGGATGTTTATCTATTTATATACGAACTTAGGGGTTACAATATAAATGATAATTATTATGTGAGTCCCTATATATTTACAAAGTAGTCATTATTCTAGAACTCTCTGTGTGTCTAGAATTTTCTAAGGACTTTTTGAGAAATTCCCACAATTCTCTAGAATATTCTACCATGGACTAGCCTTTTTTTCCCCCAAATATTAAAAAATTAAATTAAGAAATAAAAAATATATAAGGTATGCAGTAAAGAAAGAATCATAAATTATATGTAAATACATCCAATATATTTTTATTTTGAAACAAAACAAAAGATGAAAAAAATTAAAAATAGATTAATGGTAAAATTTTATTTTGGTCCTTATATAATTATACTCTCCCGTTCACTTTTACTTGTCACTAATTTCTAAAATAGATTTTCATTTTTACTTGTCACTTTGACGTATCAAGGAAAGACGGTAATTTTTTTTTGTGTTTTACTCTCAAGATTAAATACTTATTTTCCAAATTATTTTTTAAGACATCATTTAATAGGAGATAGTTTGGTAAAATACGTATATCATTAATTATTTTCTTAATAGGTGTGTCAAGTCAAACTATGACAAGTAAAAGAGAGGGAGTATGATTTAATATATTTGACTTTTCTAAAAAATTAAAATGTACCTTATGTCATTTAATAAAGAAAAATAATATTTTTGGACTCATTTTAGAAGTACATCATAAGCTTAACATAACTTCTTACTAATTACTAATGATAGGAATAATTAACAATTTTGTGAATATTAACCAGCGAAAGAATAAAAAATTTAAATAATATATATATATATAAAGAGAACTCTAGGGTATCATTACAAATCAGAATTATCTTTCAATTTTTTTATTTCTAAAACTAGCCTTCCCATCTTCCCAAAAACCTTTACAACTGTTATCACCATCTTACAAATTAAGCTTCCACCAAATATTCGAAATGTATAAATATCAGCCCCCCATTGAACTTAATTAAGCAATTGATCGCCATATAGGAATACCAGGTCAAACTTAAATTTAACTAACTGGTACCAAAATAAAGTATTGAGCCAAACTATGTGAATTAGCTGGCTCAGATGAATATATAACAGGTATACCTTGAGAATTTTCTTTTTAATTTTGAAATTGTGAATGTTTCTCCGCTAATCCTATGAATACTTGCATTGCTGCATGCAATAGTCTACCGTTTCTCGATAATCTTACTTTACATTTGGTGATTTAAGTTAATCATTTTTTTGTCTAGGGATGGTACAATATAGATTGAAGGCCAATGTCATTTATTAGAGCTTTCAAGAAGAGTTGTGACTTTCATAAAAAGTTGTGGCTTTTATGAAAAATTGTTACTTTAATGAAAATTTGTGACTTTATGAAGAGTTATGACTTTTATGAAATGTTGTGATCATTCCGGAGGGTTGTAACTTTTCCAAAGAGTTGTGACCTTTCCGATAAGGCACAGTAAATATTTGATGACACTACCCTTTGTTGTCTATAAATAGAGGAATTTCCTATGATTTTGAAACAACGAAAATTCTGAAATTCTTCTTCTTCTAAACAATTAAATATTCGTGTACTTTGCTTCTGTTGAGTGGCTCACTCACACCATTGTTTTTGTATCAATACACTGGTGAATAGAATCGTTCTATCCTGAAAGGATTTATTTCTTTAAACCTCATATACTAGAGGAGAATAATTTCCTTAAGGGGACACTATGCATTCAGTGAGCTTGATTTTTTCCTTTCTGTTTTATAATATTATTACAGATCATACTATGTTTTTTTTTACAGTCATTAATTTATGATTATGTTATTAATTGTTATTTTTGAGTATATGCTTTAAACTTTATTGTTTATGTTTTTGCAAAGTTATTGTTATAAGTATTTGTTAGTATAAATTAAATAACATACGTTAATTGAGTATTCACACAATTTTCTCAACTGCAATTATTGAATGTACAATAAAAAAATCCCTTAAAGATCTATACTACCATCTCTTGAAAACAAAATTCAAATTTGGTATGCCTTTTGTAAGAACATAAAGACCTTAAAAAACCTTATCGTACCTTGATGTGTGAAGTGAACCAGAAAAAGAAAGACAAGAATTAATTAATAAGCATTTGACAGGACTTCAAAGATGTTATACCGGATGACTTATAGAGGAATATGACTAGATTGAAGCCTCTTTTAAACTTAAAGACATAGATAACTACAAAATAAACTAATTGCTCATATTCAATATGAAGTATTGATAGATTCTCAAGTTTACTGCAAGTTGTAAATAATTTTCTTGAAGTAATAGATGTGTTTTTCGACACTACGATTAGAATAAAAGTGTAGTATCAAATTGAACTTCATCACTCTGGTATGCCGATTTTTAAAAAGCACCCAAACAAATTGAATTATTTTGTGTAATATTTTTCTCTTTCAAATATATATGATAATTTGAATTGTTGTCCAATATGATACATTTTTCCTTTAATTTTCCATTTTAATAATTTCTTATGATAATTTTAATGGGAAACTTTAAAATGATATATGTAAAGCAAAAAGTAGGGCTGAACTTTCTACACGTTAAAATTAGAATATTTATTCACTTTTTTCAGCCTTTTAAATTTATTTATCCCTACACCAACGATTATTTATTTATTAAAAAATTAATATATCTGGTTGATGTTCATTTGATCCCAAAAAATATCAAATAGTAACACTTTCTTGAAGCAAAATGATAAATTATAAAATTATTAATGTTCGTTACTACGTAATCTTGTAGGTATTAGTGACTGATATGCTTTAATTTTTAAATATTATTTTATAAATTCCGTGATATTAAATTTTTGCACAAAGGCATGTGTAACTTTACTAGTTTTATATAATTGAAAATTATATATATATAGTACGATATCGTTAATACATATACTATGTCATGATGCGAATTGTCACGTGGGACGGGCGTTTGTATACTTTTCCAAATTATTACTCTTTCATTTTTTTTCCCTGTTGAAATCAACCTTTACTAATTAAGTAGTATTATTATGTATATACGGCTCAAATGGGCTTCACATATTTGCTTTAGGAACGCAAATTCTTGTTTTTGGATTCGATATGTGGGTTCAATTGCAAACTCATTGTACCATTGGAACTCAAAAATTACTAGTTCTTTCAAGAAAGGTGATGTTGAGGGGGCACGCAAGTTGTTTGATGAAATGCCTCAGAGGAATGTAGTAACTTGGAACTGTATGATTTCTGGGTATGTAAGAAATGGGATGCTCCATGATGCTCAACAAGTGTTTGACACAATGCCGAGTAGAAATGTTGTTTCTTGGACAGCCTTGTTAAGTGGGTATGCAAAGAATGGGAATTTACAAGTGGCACGGCGGATGTTTGATGGAATGGATGATAAGAATGTGGTTTGCTGGAATTCAATGATCTCGGGGTACGTGAGCAATGGGAGGATAGAGGAAGGTAGAGCGTTGTTTGATGCAATGCGGATTAAGAATGATGTATCGCATGGGATTATGATTGAAGGATACTTCAAGTATGGGGATGTGAGTGAAGCTGAGAGGTTGTTTAGTGAAGCACCAGTGAAAAGTGTGACACTTTGTAATGTTATGTTAACAGGTTATGCTGAAATGGGGCGGACTGAGGATTCGTATAAGTTATTTATGAGAATGGCTAGGTGTGATGTGGCATCTTGGACTAGTATGATTACGTGTTTTTTAAGAGCCAGGGAGGTGGAAAAAGCTAGAAGGTTGTTTGAGGACATGCCTGACAAGGATGTCGTGGCTTGGACTGCTATGATTAAAGGGTATTGTGAAAATAACAACGTGGAGGAGGCAGGAAAACTTTTTGCTGTAATGCCTCAAAAGGATAATATTGCATGGAATTCAATGCTAAGTGGTTATCTGCAACATGGAAGACTGCAAGATGCTCTACACCTGTTTCATACGATGCCATGGAGGAACACAGTATCATGGAATTCGATGTTGTGGGGTTTCATTCAACAAGACGATATAACTAGTGCTCGAGAGTTGTTTGAGCAGATGCCTAGAAAAGATGAAACCTCGTGGAACACTATCATTTCAGGATATCAAAATGAGGAAGCTTTGGTTTTATATATCCGGATGTTGCAAAACAATTACAGGCCAGATCAGACCACATTTTCCAATGTGGTCTCGTTATGTGGAGTTCTTTCTTTGTATGGTTGGGGAAGAGCTTTGCATGCCAGTGTAACTAAGAGTGGCTTTGAAAATAATACCATGATTATAAGTGCATTCATATCCATGTACTCCGGGTGTGGGTTTATACATGAAGCTTCCTCACTTTTCAGAAGTATGAAAAAACTAGACACAGTATCATGGAATGCCATGATTGTAGCACAAGCATGTCATGGTTCTGCTAAAGAAGCCCTCGATCTTTTTCCTTGTATGATTCAAGCTGGATATGAACCAGACCATGTAACTTTTCTTGGTGTCCTAACTGCTTGTGCTCATTCTGGATTAGTGGACGAGGGTTGGAGCTACTTTGTATCAATGGAGAAAAGGTGGAGTATAATTCCAAAGGCTGAGCACTATAACTGCATGGTTGATCTTCTTGGGAGATCAGGGATGCTAACTGAAGCCTTTGAACTAGTCAAGCAAATTCCTCTTGATCTCCCTGCTCATGCTCGGGAGACATTACTTAGTTGTTGTAGAGTCCATGAAAATTTTGATTTAAGTGATCTAGTAGAACAGAAACTTCTAAGCCTTCAGCCTTCTAATATTGGAATGTGTGTGCTTTTATCAAATATGTATTCTTCAAGAGGAATGTGGAAAGATGCAGCTCGTGTGAGAGCACTACTTAAAAAGTATGATTTGAAGAAAGAATTGGCGTGTAGCTGGATTGAGATAAATGGTTGTATTTCTCAGTTTGTTTCAAATGACAGATGCAATCCTAGAGCAATGGACATATACAAAGCATTAGGAAGTCTTTCTGCATTGATTGAAGATAGTGGCACATTAGTTTATCGGGGATGTTATTCAAAATTCGGTTCTTCAGAAGAAATTAATGTTCCCTAACATATTTTTTCCCTTTATTTCAGTCTATAAAAGTTCCAGAGTAGAATTTCTGTTTTCCTCTTGGTGAATCCCTCTGGGGACTGGGATTGAAAACTTACTCACTAAAAACCCTTTCAAGATATTGTGAAGTCTCATCGAGAGGTATGCTTTTCAACCATATCTAAATTGAAGATCTACGCGTGTTAATTTGTGGAATGCATCAACTTATAGGTCCCGTTTCTTTGACAGATGTTGCTTGATATCTCTGATAGATGCTAGCCCAGTATGTGCTTCTATGAAGACCTGCAACCTAATGCTTGATGAAGGTACACCCGTGATAGCCACACTTGGGGTGCAATTATTGGTGATAGCTCCGCGTTTTGGAAGGTAAGTTCAAAATTTAAGCCGTTTTGCATTTTATATATGAGAGCTAGATGAGAATCTTGAATAAAGTTGTGTTTGACAGAAGTGAGAATTGATTTAAGCTCTTGCAGACGATAAATTTCCCAATGTTAGAGGAACTTTTGAACTGGATACAAGTAAGTTTTACATACAAGGTATGAGATGTAGGATAGGATACATACATATCTTTTGACATATGAACTTAGTAAATTAAGCATAAATAAATACAGAAAACATATGCATATGTGTATGTATTGTGTGTATATTGACGCGTGCCCACACACACATAATATGTTTGCATATTCACATATAGAATCTTAATACATACACGTGTACACATACTGAGAGCACATATTTATACACACACGTATACATGTGTGGGTAGGGAAAATACATATTTTCCTCCTTACTTGTCCCAAAAATATTCTTATACACCTAAACTTTGTGAGCAACCCTTTACCTGCCTGATCTTGTTTGAAGAGAATCAGTTATCCCCTTGAGTGATGATGTGACAGAAAAAGCGTGTCATCTGATGGTATGTCACCCGATGTTGGAACATCAAACATTGCTTAATCTTATTTAAGATGGAACAATGTCGTTCCATTTAACTTCATTAAGACCCCATTTGTTTTGCTTAAGATTAAGATGTTTGAATTTGAAGACATATATGAGGAGTATTAAAATATTATCTCCAGACCTGAACAGTGAACAATTAATATAGTTTGTTTTTTCAACTCAAGAATATGTGTAGTTTATCTTTGTTTAAAAACTAATGTATATAAAATTCCAATATACTAATAACTAAATGTTATGTCTGTAAATATTTGGGATAACTACTAATATATGGTGTTGTATAAACTATTTGTTTGATGAAGCAAACTCTAAAATATGTATGATTGCCATTTATTTACCTTGTTTTATTCCATAAATAAAAATTGACCTATTATATAGGTAAATCAAACAACTTAGATAGAAAAAGAAGTATCACAATATTAAAAATATGCACATAAGATAGAGATCAATAATTTAGAATGAAATATAAACATGGATTTATAATATCACCAGTCAATTTAGCGCCCTTAAAATCATTTTATTTAGAAGGTTTATACATTTAAAAATCAGAATTTTGAATAAAATATGTCATCATATGAATTATAGACAAAGCACTTAAGTTGAAATAAGGAATTTAAGTATTGTAATAAACAAATTACATATAGTGAGGATTGAAAATCTAAGTGCAAAATAAACATTGTTTGGGATAGGGGAGAAAATGTCTACGGTTTAAAATTGGAGGGAGAATTTGATTTAAAGGCAAAAGGAGAGGGACAAAAATGATTTTCTCCCTTAAAACATTTCTTCAAAGAAAGAAATATTTTATAGAATATTATTTTAACCGGCATTTATACTATTTTGGTTTGGTTTTGAAGATTTTGAACTCCATTTGTCCAAATTTATATGACACACCTTCCTTTTTAGTCCGTTCCATAAAGAATGACACATTTCTATATTTTGTACTATTAGTTGTTATTTTTTCTATATTTTGTATTAACTTGGTTAAAACAAATTGATCAGCATTACCATTTTATTTTTTAAACAACCTTCCGCTTTAAACGCATTTCTTCTTTCCTGTCTGAAATTGTCCATCCTATTGTTTCTCGTTTGCATCTCCAGGAAAACAGGTTAACCAAAAAAAGGAAAGGAAAAAAAAAGAAAAAAAAAGGAGAGATCTTGATTGCATGATCTCCATTAGAGAAGGAGGAGGAGGTGGAGGAGGAAGAATCTGAATGAGAGAAAAATGACGACAATGAAAGAAAAGTAGAGAACATATTTAGAGTAAAGGAGAGGAAAAGAAAGAAGAGAAGAAAAGAAACAACGGAAAAAGGAAGAAAGACGGATTGATCCTTTTGTAGAGATATAAAAGGAAAAAAATTGAAGAAGGACAATGGAGGAGAGGGTGGGGGATTTGAGGGTTCCTCTGATCTCTTCCTTGTTCTGTCTTTGTGTATTAACTGGTGGTGTCCTCCTTGTTCTCTACCTTTTCGTGCCAGATTACTCTCGGCCGTGGTTTGCTCCTGCAGGATTGATCTTGGTTGGTTCTCCTTACATATTTTGGCTCCTGACTTACATTTACACCTGCTTGAAACACTGCTGTTTTGGCGATAGCAGCATTGATGACAACCGCCAGATTTCAAGGCGGACCTCAAGGGCTCCCACAATGGGGAAACCTGGTGTTGCCAGGACTGATTCCAAGGCAAACTCTGCTACTTCTAATAGCAATAACATCAATGATGGTAAACAAGATGGAGGAGATTCATCATCTATCAACTCCGCAAAGGAAATTGAGATGCCTTTAGCCGTATGAATATTAATCGACATTATGCATGAGCTAAAACATGAAAGAGATATTTGGATTGCAGAGATATTAATAATATGTAATTGAAGGATCATGTCATCATTCAGGAGCTGCTAAGGATGGCGAAGATTGCGCACAAACGGTGAATGTAAGTAGAAATAGCAGAAAAGGATATTTAACTTTGTCTTAGAATTTACAAAAATTGAACAAACCAAAAAAAAAATTGCTCTTCTTGTTTCCTAGGCAGCTGTTCTCTCTTATTTCCTATTATATTTCTTTCCCTCTTTCCTCCCCCCAACTTTTCTCAATTTCTGTTGAAACTTCAATTTCAACTGAATACAGAATGAGATAAATTTTACATATAGTATATACTCATATTTAATTACCTTCTTGTTATCTCAGCTTCCTTTGTTTGGTCAGTCTATGTGGTTAATTAGTATGAAGAATTAGAAATTTTATAGCAAGGCAGTAGTTGCATATCTTTTGAATAATTTGTTATAGATTGGGAGGAAGGGCAGTAGTAGGGAGGAAAACATTTCCCAATTTTCTCTAAGAAAATATGTTTCTTTAAAATGAGGAAAATGATTTTTCTAGTGAAAGTATAGAAAACAAGTTTCACAGGTGGCCCTTCAACACACTTCATCTTCACCTCCACCCCACCCTCGCCTCTCATAGTATTTATTTAGATTATATATAAATATTTTTATGATAATGTTTTTTTACTTGCATACACAAGAAATCCTTGAAAAACATTTTTATTCGTACCGAAGCCCTCTTACTCCTAATGAAGTGTTTGTCCTAACTTCATTGTTTGCATGAGGAGTTAAATACAACTAGGTTAAACATAATAAATAGTCATATCGAATAGTATTTTATCTTTTTCTAAACCATCCTTGATATACTGTAGCTCGGCCCCTGTCTTCAACATGCGGCCCTTATGTTGGGACCTGATTTCTTTTTTTAATCAAATACGTGAATATTGTCTCAATGTCATATCCATATAGAGGAACTTATTAGGCACATTCTAATTTATTAAGATATGAATGTGCCATTTCTATGATGGAAATTAGAAATGGACTTGAGAAAGCCTAGCTGGGGGGAATTGTGACCACCCACAGAATTGAAGCATTTGCCTGCAATTTATGTCGAATCCTGAGAAGTGGCCCTCTGATATCCTTTGGCCCTTTCTTTTTTAGATATTTTTCCATTTCAATTTGTAAGCAATAAATACGTAAAGTTGTGCATTTATTATTGGTATGGACGAACTCCAACCGCCTAATTAACTCTAGTACTTCAAATTATGACTTCAACTGCTACCCAGCTACGATTAGTATACTCTATCCGTTTCTATTTATATGTCACCATTTTAAATTTTACGTGCATTAAAAAATTAAGTAAATTTGCTATTTTACTATTATTTAATTTTTTTTGAACTCGGGTTTTCAAGTAATGACTATGAATTAATTTGTTTTGATTAATTAATTTTACCAATGAACATGAATTATTTACTTAGTTTTTCTATGTTGGTCAAATGTATATTTTCAAGGCTAATAGCTCACAAGGATAAAATAGGAAGAATGTTGTAATTTTATACATTGATTTTATGAAATGACAAGTATTATTGACCAATTATTTATAGTAAGGATAACGTATAAAAAGGAACGGAGAGAGTATAATTCGTTATACATTCAAACCTCTAAACTTTGGGAAGCTTTAGCTTGATTCGTAAAGCTATTGTCATGTGATCAAGAGGTTACGAGTTTAAGTTGTAAAAATAGTCTCTTACAGATATGCAAGATAAGAATGCGTATAATAAATCTTTACATTGACGAATTTTAAATTTCTAGAATATGAGTACATCGTTGAAAAAAATATTTAGTGGAAAATTGATTAATCCTCAAGGTAAATAACTTAACCTTCGACCAAGTACACTATTTAGTGTTTTAGTGTTAGCAAATAATATTATCTCAATTTATATATATATCTAGATTTACGAAGAGATCACATGTTCAAGTGCCCTGATTTTTGCTTTAAATTCTCTCCTTGATCTTTAATTTGTGGTCCTCTCTTCATGTGCATACCAAAAGCTTTAGTGCACCAGATTGAACTTTAAACTTATAAACTTTGATTGTGAATTTTGACTTATGAAAGTTTTAAGTTTTTTATTTTTAAATTTATATATATATATATATATATATCACATAATATACTATAAATTACCGTAACTATCAACTTTAAATTAAATAATAAAAAAAATATGAAAAAATCTGTTCAAAGAAAAACTTGACTGCCTCCCGAAATTTAAAGTATGTGCCGTGTAAACTGGGACGTATATATTCCATCGTCTAGTCCACTGAAAGGCTATATATTATGAACTTAGAAATGGCGAGTAATTTGAAAAAATCGATCTAGTTACATTGCCATGAAAGAAGACACTTTAAAGTCCGTCAAAATTCAACATCACAATGAAGAAAATGAAGAACAAATATTGATTCCGGGCTTGCCAAATCACTTAGCTCATCTTTGTCTTTCCAATCTTCACCCTTCACTACTTTATCGCGTTTGCAAATCATGGCGACGCCTCATTTACACCTCATCTTTTCCTCTATTTTACTGTCTTTATGTTGTATGCTCTCGAAATAGCAGTACTACTGCTATTTCGAGAGCATACAACAACAACAGTACTAGTACTAATACTGTTAGTACTAGTACTGTGGAGTTTTTCTGCTTAGATCCAATTTCATCTAAGTGGACTCCGTTACCAAATCCGCCTACATCAGATCCACCAATTCGCATACTACGCCATCATCCATCTTTTATATCAAGGAGTCTTTCAATTCAATCGTTAACTGTTGCAGAACGAATGATTCTTATTGCTGCTACAACTCATAAATTTCTTCCGGCACTTGAACGGCCGTTGGGATTCGATCCTTTGTGTAATAAATGGTTTTTTGGTCCCAATTTGCCCACGCCGCGGCGATGGTGTGGTTCGAGCGCTGTAAATGGAAATGTGTATGTAGCAAGTGGTATGGGCTCAGCTTATCATGGTGATGTAGCAAGGTCTTTAGAGAAATGGGATGTGAAAGAGAAGGTTGATCAATGGAAGTGGGAGAAATTGAAAGGGTTAAAAGATGGAAGATTTTGTAGAGAATTTGTTGATGCTATTGGATATAAAGGGAAATTATGCATGGTAAATGTTGGATCGATCTCATCTAAAAGCTAATATTTTTTTATTATTATTGAGTTAAGCACGCAAAAATAAAATCCTTTTTTTCCTCTTTTTAATAAGAGTGGCAATACCATTTACAACTTTTAACTAGGAATTTTGTTGAAGGTATTGCACAATTTTGTTGTCACTTATTAACTATTTTGATTGATTGTCAAAGTAATAAGAAGTTTCGCTAAATATATTCAAGAATTATTGTATATATATAAAAAGTATTTTTTCTGTTTTAATTTGTGTCGTTCGACTTTTTTTTTTAGCCTGTTTGAAAAAAAGAATGTCACTTTCTATTACTCAATAGTAACTTTTTAATTTCAATATCAGATCATATGACATATTTGAGATCATATGATTCAACGATATTTTGGTCAATATATGAGTACAATCTTTAGTTTAAAATCTCAAAATTTAAAAGTCTTCCTCATAGTTGTAAACTTCAAGTCAACTTAAGATACATAAATTGAAACGGATGAAGTAACATTTACCTACATATATGTTGTACAATAATTTTCAGCGATTGATGGGTATATTCTATTGACACTACTCCTTAAGTCTATGTGGCTCTGGCGCCATTGGCTTTGATACCATATTGAATCCTATGAATTTAAACTATCGAAGCTGATAAGACTTTTTTATTTACTTAATTATATTTTCAACAGGTAAATATCATGGGGCGTGCAGTAAAACAAGGCACGGTTTACGATGTAACAAAAGATGAGTGGGGAGAGATGCCAAAGGGAATGCTAGAAGGATGGACTGGGCCATCATCATCATCAAATGATGAAAGTGAGATGTACGTAGTGGATGAGACAAAGGGGTCATTGAGCAAATATGTATCAGAAACTGATCAATGGGAAGAGTTAATTGAATCTTGTGATGATTTGAAAGGAGCTGAGCAAATTACTGTTGGAAGAGGACGAGTTTGTGTCATTTGTGGTTGCGGTCGATTGATAGTTGTGGTGGATGTTTCAGTAACGCCAGCTAATGTGATTCGAGTTGTGAGTACTCCGCCAGAGATAGAGGCAATTGCTTTACATATATTGCCAAGAGTTAGTGTTTAAGATTATGTATGTAAATAATAATGTTGATTGATCAAATTATGGAAGATACAAGTTTTGATTTGTTTAACCTTTCTTTGATTTTCCAAAGTTATTTGATATTTGTGTTAACGAAAGCTAAGGTAACATGATGTGATGTGAGCATTATATCAAAGTACTTTAACGTGCTATCTCGTCTTAATTATCATTTATTTTATTAGAAATTTTATACGATCTCATAGTGTTAAAGAACTAATTACATTCTATTCTTATTATTTTTCAAATTACAAAAATCTCTTAAATTTGGTGGAATTCGGATATATCTCAAAATGTTCGCGTCCCGATTTAAAATACATCCCTCAAATATCCCGATCCATCGTGTCTCAGTTTCGAATACATCACTCAATGTCTCAATACATAGCGTACGTTCCGATACATCGCATAAAGTGATATATTTGAGAATATGAGTGAGTAGGGATTTTTGTAATTTTTTCAAATGGTAGAGAATTTTAGAGAATATGATAAAAATGTGTATTTAACTAATTTCCCCTTTTTATTTTAAGATATTGTGTCCAATAAATTCTATTTTAAATATAATTACGTCCCATTATCTTTTAAATTATTTGTATACATGTATTTATTTTTTTATCTTCACTGCATAAATCTTAAACTCTATAAAAATAAAAACAAATTATTTTTTGAATCAACAACTATTGAAGAATTGCCTCAAACACCTCTCACTTTCCTGGTATCCTTTTAATTTGGACACATAGGATATGTTGTACACTATTTAAAAAGTCGCTATTTTTCCTATTGGAAAATGTTCCACGGTTATTTTTACTAATATTTTGATTGAATAGTAAAAAGAAAAAAATAATACAGTAAATGTTTT